CTGTGTTCATCCAGCTCTACACCTTGTTATCTCTGGGCCATAAATAAGTTGTTTAACAAACAATAATATCCTTTCGTGAGGTAGGGGCATATTGCTAATTAAAAACTTGCCCTGCCACTTCTGAAAAGTGTAAAGAATGGCAAAAATGTAAAGAATGTGTTGCACCCAATGTCGAGATCAGTTTCACTTGACTTTTCGTCCAATTCTCCATAAATCTCACTATAGCCCATGTTGCTCAGATCCTTATAAGATTCTATCCATTACTTACAAGTGAGATGTATATGTGAATAGTAATGACAATGACTAAGAATATTTACTACCTGTGGTAAGCATGATGGTAGATTCATCTAATCAGGATAAAACTAATCAGATTAAAGTGATAAGGTTGAAAGCAAAGCTATCATTATGATTTAAGGAAAACAATTACTTGTATGTAAATAGAAACATAGAAGATTGGAGCAGGAGGAGGCCATTTGGCCCTTTGAGCCTGCTCCACCATCCTTCACAATCATGCCTGATCATCCAACTCAATAGTCTAATCCTGCTTTCTCACCATAACCTTTGATCCCATTTGCCCCGAGTGCTATATCTAGTCGCCTCTTGAATACATTCAATGTTTTGGCATCATCTACTTCCTGTGGTAATAAATTCCACAGGCTCACCACTCTTTGGGTGAAGAAATGTCTCCTCATCTCCATCTTAAATCATCTGCCCTGAATCCTCAGAATGTGACCGCTGGATCTAGACACACCCCGCTTCGGGAACATCCTCCCTGCATCTACCCTGTCCAGTTCTGCTAGAATTTTATAAGTCTCTAGGAGAATCACCCCTTCCCCACCTTATTCACCTGTACTCTAGCAAAAACAATCCCAACCTAGTCAATCTCTCCTCATATGTCAGACCTGCCATCCCTGGAATCAGTCTGGTAAACCTTTGTTGCACTCCCTTGAGAGCAAGAGCATCCTTTCTCAGAAAAGGAAACCAAAATTGCACACAATATTCCAGGTATGTTCTCACCAAGGCTCTGTACAACTGCAACAAAACATCCCTGCTCCTGCACTCAAAACCTCTCGCAATGAAGGCCAACATACCATTTGCCTTCTTTACCGCCTGCTGCACCTGCATGCTTACCTTCAGCAACTGGTGCACAAGGACGCCCAGGTCCTGCTGCGCACTCCCTTCTCCCAATGTATAGCCATTCAGGTAGTAATCTGCGTTCTTGTTTTTACTCCTGAAGTGAATAACCTCACATTTATCCAAATTATACAGCATCTGCCATTGATTTGCCCACTCACCCAACCTGTCGAGATCATCCTGAAGGATCTCTGCATCCTCGTCACAGTTCACCCTCCCACCCAACTAGGTATCATCTGCAAACTTGGAGATGTTACATTTTGTTCCCTCATCTAAATCATTAATATATATTGTGAACAGCTGGGGTCCCAGCGCCGATCCGTATGGCACCCCACTTTACTGCCTACCAATTTGAAAAGGACCATTAATTCCTACTCTTTGTGTCCTCTCTGCCAACCAGTTTTCTATCTATCTCAATATACTTCTCCCAATCCCATGCACTTTAATCTTGCATGTTAATCTCTTATTGGGACCTTGTCAAATGCTTTCTGAAAGTCCAAAAATATTACATCGACTGGCTCCCCCTTGTCAACTCTACTAATTACATCTTCATAGAATTCCAACAGATTTGTCCAGCATGATTTGCCCCTTCATAAATCCATGCTGACTCTGTCTGATCCTGCCACTGGTTTCTAAATGCTCTGCTATAAAATTCAAGATTTGAGAATTTTCCCCACTACTGATGTTAGGCTCACCAGTCTATAATTCCCTGTGTTCTCTCTACCTCCCTTTTTGAATATTGGAGTGACATTAGCCACCTTCCAAATGCAGGCACTGTTCCAGAGTGTATAGAATCCTGGAAGATGACCACCAATGCATCCAATATTTCTAGAGCTACTTCCTTAAGTACTCTGGGTTGTAGCTTATCGAGCCCTGGGGATTTACCAGCCTTCAATCCCAACAATTTGTACAGCACCATTTTTTTACTAGTACTGATATCCCTCTGTTCTTCCCTCTCATTAAATCTCCAACAATTCTGGTATCTGATTTGAGTGCTCTTTTGTGAAGACAGAACCAAAGTATGCATTCAGTTCCTCAGCTATTTCTTTGTCACCTATTATGCATTCCCCCGTTTTTGTCTGTATTGTCTTTATTGTCTTTACCAATCTCTTTCTTTTCACGTACCTATAGAAACTCTTAGCGTCAGTTTTTATATTCCTTGCAAGCTTACTTTCATACTCTTTTTTCCCCTTCTTAATCAATCCCTTGGCCCTTCTTTGCTGAATTTTAAAATGCTCCCAATCCTCAGATTTATTATTTTTCTTGACCAATGTGTACGCTTTTTCCTTTTTAGGATACTATCTCTTATTTCCTTTGTAAGCCATGGATTGGCCGTCTTACCCATTTTGATTTTGTAACAGACAGGAATAAACGGTCCCCCCATGCATTCCTTGAATGTTTGCCATTGCCTATTCACTGTCATTCCTTTAAGTAACTCTCCCCAGTCTATCAAGGCCAACTCATGCTTCATACCCTCGTAGTTTCCTTTTATTAAGGTTCAGCACCCTAGTCTCCGAATCAACAACCTCGCTCTCCTTCTTGATAAAAAAATCAGACTAAAAGGGAATGCTCCAGCAATAATAATATTGGGTGTTCAAGAGTGAAAGTAGGTTTTGCTCCAAATGCCTCAATTGTGTACTTTAGCGTTAACAGGATTACAGTAATTGGAGGATTACATCATAGTTATCTAACCTTCAGTGCATTAAATGTGCTTGTTTATGATTCATTCATAGGATGAAGCAGCACAGCCACTCAATCTCTCAGCCAGGCCCAAGACTTCCGAACCTGTCCGATCTCCCACATCGCCCACACAGGGCTTTTTCCATGCAAACAAATCTAGTCCGGTCAACCTGCCCAACAAAAGCAGCATCCCCAGTCCTGTAGGTGGCACACCAGGAAGAGGATCATCTTTAGGTAAGTGTGAAGATAAAATGTAGAATTCTTTTAGTACTCTTAGCTGTTGATGCTATTTGTAGAGACGTTATAATTAGGTAGTTTTCATGTCAATATTCCTACTGAAATTGTAAACCTGCTCATTTTGGTTTTGCTAGGTAAGTGATTTTTCTCCAAACAACAGCAATATCATATAGTTCGTGAGTTTAAATGTAATAAACTATGCCCAAATGCTTCACAAGAGCATTACAACTCATTAAAATGACACAGGAGATTTTTCAGCAGATGACAAAAAGCTTGGCCAAGGAGGTGGGTTTTACAGAGTGTCTTAAATAAGATAATGAAGCTAGAAAGATATGGAAAATGATTCCAGAGCTTACAGCCCAAGCAATCAACTGTGAAAGTGGCCAGTTAAAATCAGGGGTGCTCATGAATCCAGAATTGTAGGAGCACGATTAACTCTGAGAACTCTGTTGGACTGGAGAAGATTAGAGAAATAAGGGGCAAAGTCAGTTGAGGTTGAAAACAAGAATGAAAATTCTAAAATCAAGACATTGGTGACTGAGAACTAGTGTAAGTCAGTGAGCACGGTGGTGATGAGTGAAAGGGACATGATGCGAGTTAGGACACCAGCTGCAGAGTTTTGCATGACGTCAGGTTTAGGATAGACTGTTGAAGACCAGCCACGAGTGGATGATGACCAAAGCACGAATGGTGGTTTCCACAGCAGATGAGCAGAGAGGGGGCAAAGTCAGCCAATGTAACAGAGGTGGAAAAAGGTGATTGCTTAGTGAAAGCTTTAGTGATAGCTTGGAGTATGTCATTGGAAGATTATCATAGAATCACATATGCCATTAAGTTTATAAACCCACTAGCTTAATCTCATATGCCACAGAGAGTGATGGAGTCAGTAGCTAGGGAATGCAGTTTGGCAAAGACTGAGAACAATTGCTTTGGTTGTACCACTGTTTGGAAGAACTTTCTGTTCATCTGGTATTGGATGCTGGATAATCAATCTGATATATTAGTCACAGTGGAGGAATCGAGGAAAGTGCTGATGAGGTACAGCTGAGTGCTTTCAGAGTACGTGTGAAAATTAATGCTGTGGCTTTGGATGATAATGCCAAAGAGCATCATGTCGATGAGAAATAGGAGGGGGCCAGATTTAGATGCTTGGTGGTAAAGGTGCAAGTGCATGAAGAAAGAGATGCCGTTGCAAATGATACACTGACTTTGAATATATAGATTAGAATGGAGATTGTTGATTGCAGTCCCATCCACTTTATGGAATGATGCTGGAGGGGGTTGGTGAAGTCAACAATCTCAAAGGTTCACATTACAAAGACATGGCTGTAAAGGGATCAGGACTGGGAATGAAATATCCAAGGATACGCATCCCATCAAAAAGACGTGGGTGGGCGATGGCTCGGTGGTTAGCACTGCTGCCTCACAGCACCAGGGACCCAGGTTCGATCCTAGGCTTGGGCAACTGACTATGTGGAGTTTGCACATTCTCTACCTATTTGTGTGCATTTCCTCTGGGTGCTCTGATTTCCTCTCACAGTCCAAAAATGTGCAGGTTAGATGGATTGGCCAAGATAAATTGCCTACATGGTGTCCAGGGATGTGCAAGCTGGGTGGGTTAGCAATGGGAATTGCAGGGCCACAGGGATCGGATAGGGGTGTGGGTCTGGGTAGGATGCTGTTCAGAGGGTTGGTGTTGACTCAACAGGCCACGTGGCCTGCTTCCACACTGTAGCAATTCTATGACAGGCAGATTGGAAGAGAAGGTGGGTTTGCCTTGTTCATAAGAAATGAAACTAAATTGATAGCAGAAAAGTGATTTAGGTTGGAAGGCATATAATCTATGTGGGTAAAGTTGAGAAACCACAAAAGAAAAAAGACTCTGGTGGGAATTATGTACAGGTTTCCTAGCAGTAATCAGGATGTGGTGCAGAGAATAAATCAGGAGATAGAGAAGGCGTGTAAGGAAGGCACTATTACAATAATCATGGGGGAATTCAACATGCAAGTAGACTGGGAAAATCAGGTTAGTAGCGGATCCCAAGAAAATGAATACCTGGAATGTCTACGAGATGTTTTCTTTTCTAGCAACTTTTGGTAGACCCACTAGGGAGCAGGCAAATTTGGATTTGGTGATGTGTAACTTGATTAAGGAGCTGAAGGTGAAGGAATCCCCAGGGGCCAGTGACCATAATATGATAGAATTCACTCTGCCATTTGAGAGGGAGAAGCTGGAATAAAATGTAATGGTATTACAATTGAGTAAAGGTAACTACAAAGACATGGCGGGGGGGGACGTCCAGATGAGTTTTACAAGAATGTTCCTGGAGATGGAGAGCTTGTCATGTGGGGAGCAGTTGAGGATTCTGGTTCTGTACTCGATGGAGTTTAGAAGGATGAGGGGGTCTGACTATAAATCACGGAATAGTCAGAAGCCTGAATAGAGTGGACGTGGAGAAGATGTTTCCACTAGTCAGAAAGACAAGAACCTGAGAGCAGAGGCTCAGAGTGAAGGGGCGACCTTTTAGAACTAAGATCAAGAGAAATGTTTTCAGCCAGGTGGTGGTAAATCTGTGGAATTCACTGCCACAATAGGTTGTGGAGGCCAAGTTATTGAGTGTATTTAAAACAGAGACAGGTTCTAGATTAAGGGGATCAAAGGTTACAGGGAGAAAAGGCAGGAGAATGAGGTTAAGAAACAGATCAGCTTGACTGAATGGTGGAGCAGACTCAAAGAGCTGAATGACCTAATTGTGCTCCTGTATCATACGATCTTATGGTCTTATAGGCTGCAGGTAAGTAGATACAAATTAGAAAGGATAGTTTATTTATGTCACAGTCACACAAGATGTCATTTATGACTTTAATAAGAGCTGTTTTGGTACTATGGCAGGGTTAAAAAAAATGAGAAAAATATAACTCTGGGAGAGATTAATGCAGATTTGGCAGTTGGTGACACTTGAGGACTTGAGAGGAAAGGGAAGTGGAGATTGGGTGGTGGATAGGTTCAAGAATTTTGTTTTGTGGAGAGGGGTAATAGCAGTATATTTAAAGAATGTAGAGACCGGCATTAAAGCAAGAGAACTGTTTGCATGATCAGTGGACAAAGAGCCCATGATAGAAAGTTTGGTGGTCAGTAATTCAGAGAGAATAGAGTTAAGGAAGCAGGAAGTATTATGGACAAGATGAATTCACGAGGGGATATTGGAGAGAAATTATAGAAATATGTGAATTCAGGGGTTGCATTAATGGAAGCTTGACCAGTTGGGAATAAAGTGTAGAGGCAGTTATTTAGTTACCTACTCACAATGATTTTGGAGGTGAGATAGAGGAGACATGGAGAAAGGTTTAAGGACAGGTTTTGTCGTGGAGAAATGAAGACAGGGGTATGATTGCTTTCCAGATTGATTCTGGAATAGTGAGTAAGTTTAGCAGACAAGACCAAAAGTGATTTCTGCAGCTCCACCCAGGTCTGGTTATGGATGGCAATGACAGCTGTTCATCAAATCCATTAAAATCTGTAGCTTTGACTTAAGGTAGTGGAGATGAGGGCTATACTGGGAGAACTTCCCAGGCTGACAGAGTAGTAGTTTGAATAGGGATGTCAATAGCAAAAGTAAATATGTGGGTGTAATTGATCTAATCATTAACTGCAGAAATATTGCATTGACTGGAGGGTTAAAGGCTGACTATCTGGACATTGGAAAATGTAGTTGTAATTGAATTGAGAGATACAGTTTTCCAGGGTGACTATAGAAGATATGTTGGGGTGTGGCAAAGGGACATGGGCTGTGATTTAATGGAATGATCATAGATGGGCTTATCTGTTATTGAAATGTTGAGACTTACAAGACCAAATGAGATGGCAAAGTTAGAGGCTTGTCTGTGAAGATTGGTTCAGAAGTTCACAATGAAGGTGACACTTAGACAGAGCGAAAATGAATGAAGAGGAGAGAGGATTTTGCATTCAGATTGAGATGGAAATGACTAGAACCGAAGCCGTTTGCTGCAGATGTTGAGGGAGTAAAGCAATGAAGAATTTTCAGTGACAACATTTTTATCATATTTGGGAGGGTGGTAGAGAATGAAGATTTTCACTGAGAGGTGGAATGCTTGAAGAAGAAGAATGGATGAACGATGTAGGCAGTCTAACACAAATGCAAGTTTTATTATCGATTCTCACCTGTGTAAATGAAAGATATGCAAAACAAAACCAGCAATGCTTCCAGCTAATACTCTGCAGGAGAATGATGCATTGACAAATGAAAATGCATTGCTTTTTTTCCTTGTTCTTGTTTCTTAGCTCCAAGAAATGTGAAAATCTACAGTATATCATTGCTATGCACAATTGTCCTATTTCTGACATGCAAATATGTTTGGTGAATCATTATCCAATCCCCAAAGATCAATTGACATCAGTTTATACTTTCAATAACTCAGAGACAGAGTTACTGATTTTGAACTAATCGATAAATAACTCAGCCTTTAATAGCGATCCAGTATTTCTGCTGCCTTACAGCATGTGATTACATTGTGCTCTTTACAGTTTAGCTTATATCAGTCAGAGATATAATACAGCACATAGACTACCTTACACCCAGCCTCTTCCTCACCTGTGAGCCTTGGCAGACCTTCTGCCCAATATGTCTCTGCGTCTTATACAGATCACAGTTCTCCAGTAATGCTATAAACGCGATTCACGAGAGGCTGTGGTAGATAGGTAAGAAAGTTTTTTTAACAAAGACAAAATTGAATTGATACATAATATGTCTTTTGTAAGTGGTCATTAATCACATTATTTCTCAGGATTGTGGCCTTCCGCAAGATATTATGCCTAATTCCAGAATCTTGAAACCTTGAATCCTTTGGAGCTTACAGTCACTGGGGCTTAAGAATCGAGTGAAGCTCCCCATTGGAAGCAGTGGGTCAAGGAACTGTTCCTCATGAGTACATCTTGTCTGTCCCATAAACAGAGTAGTTAAGTTCACATTCACCGTGTTGCAAGAAAAAGTTGGCTACGCTTAAATTTTGCTGTTCAATTTCTGGAATGTCCCAAACTTGGAAGGCTGAGAATTATTTATTTCCCTCTCCAACTAAAGGTCTACCTTTGCTGTGGAGTTTCACTGTGTGGGCAAGATCTAATGAGCAAAGTCTAAGATCTTTCTTTTTTTGTCCTCATTTGGGATGTAGAGTTCAAAATAATTTGTAGCTTTGATTAACGCAATGGCGCTGAACATAATTGAAAAGTGCTTAGTGGCTTTGGGTGATGAGCAGCTGAAAGCCTGACTGATGTAACTGAAAACAGGGTCCAGAGGGAAACATTATTCATTACCAAAAAGTCCTATAATTTCTATATGGATCACTACACTTGAGTAATTCATATCTTCAAAAAAATTGGTTATTTTAAATTCATTTAAAAAGGTGGCATAAATGAAAAAGAAGAATAAAAAATATCAGTAGTAGGGAAGGTAGTTTTAAACTGCTTCCTCAGCTTTGCCTGCTCTGAATGGGGTCAGTGATACAGGGTTTAATGCATCCAGTAGAGAAGTGTGAAACCATTTGCAAGAGATGACTGTGGCAGTGTGGAGCATATTCTGAGGAATCAATGTTCCAGATAATGTACTGAAAGGAACGGCTTCATTAATAATTAATGGCTTCAGGAGATTCTCGTCTGAATCTAAATTTGCCTCTGTTTTAAAGAGTTTTTTTTTCTAAAAAAAAGTAAAAGCAATCTTGACATTGGAATAAAATAAATTTTTCATACTGAATATTTTCAATTCACCAACAGATTGTTAGTTAACGCATGTGTTGCAGACCTAAGTCTTTTATTACAGTTGTTGAACTGGACAACGAGGATCTCTATGAGTCAAAGTGATATTTATTTCTTTTTTGTAATTCACCCGTTTTGCCCCAAATCAGTGTATTTCTTCTTGGGAAACTTAATAATTTTTATTTATTTCCCTCCCATAGACATTCTCTCCACTCTGAATTCAACAGCCTTCCTGGGTGACCAGGATGCAGTGATGAAGGCTATCCAGGAAGCTCGGAAAATGAGAGAGCAGTTGCAACGAGAGCAGCAGTTACAGCAGCCTGGGCTTGATGGCAAAACATCATCTATGAATAGCCTGGGAATTAACTGCACGGGTAATAAGGTGAGCCTTTGTAGTGGAACTCCACAAAGATGTTCCTAGCAACTCCAAAGAAGTTCGAGAACTTTATTGTTCGAGTGACTTCTAGGGCAGTGATTAATATTCAGCATTTGGCTCAGCCTTCAGCAATTTTATTTGCAAAATATAAGAATTTGAAATGTGTTAGTTTCCTCAGCACCAAACTTAGTTAGCACCATCCATCTGTACAATTTACACCAAAGGCAGACAAAAACTTGATTGCTAATTTGTCTCCATTTCTGTTCAGGATCGGAATAATCTTCAGTGATTGTATGTCAAAGCTTGAGTATCATAATTAGATTATGAGCATATCTCAATGAAAGGTTAATTCCGCTCTCTCATATAATCAGACTCCAGGGGTTTGCTTTTGAACCTGTAAAATTGATGCTGCTTGTCAGCTACGATAGTGTAACCAACTCTGAGAGGGGATAAAAAAAACTAACAGCCACATTTTACCAGAAGAGCTTGCCAACAAGAGCAAAGGACTGATGGGGAATGACGGCAGCAGAGGGGAGTGTCTGCTAATAAGACTGCAGGTCCAAACTTCTCCCTCAACTCCTGAGAAGCTCTCTCACCACAAACTCCTTCCTCCGCTCACTCAGTAACTTCTCTTCTTAATCCTCCACCATGGGCCTGCCTGGAATCCCTTGCATAATTTGCCCTACCACTCCCACCCAGCTCAAATCCTCTTACCCTCCCTATCAAACTCCCTTTGTCTTTATTGCCTACAGCACTCCTCTTCTGTTAGGCCTGCTCAGACCCCCATTCCCTGACACCTATGCAAACTGCGCTCGCTGGAATCTGGCTTGAACCACCTTCAACCTCAAACCCCCGGATTTCCTGAAGTACTCCCCAACCCAAACACCCACTAGTTGAAGCTAAGCAATTCTGAAGAAGGGGCTGTGCCAGCTAGTGCTGATGCTTCATTGTGATTGCGTGCCAACACATGAACACTTTGCTAGCTTTAGACTGTGCACATGATTGGGTAGTTAGGAGGGGAGACTGTGAGCACACTCCTCAGTTGTTGCCTCGAGGAATCCAGGACAAAAGGCACCCCAAGCATTCGAGGGAGATGCAAGAGAATCTGCAATGGTTGGACATCCTGGCTACCCATTATGCAGACCACCGAATTTTTATTGCCTTTGATTTCACTTGTACAATTTCAAGGACATAAAGCCACTGCCACAATGCCGTACTTGCACCAGTTGTGGTAGACCAAACCATGTGATTTGTATCAAGTTCCTGTGATGATATAATCAAGGCAATATTTAAATTGGATTATTCAAGTATTGATAGGAATGGAGCAAACAAAGCAAAATTAACAGTAGAAATAATTATTTTATTTGTTTTTTCATAGAGGTTGTCGCAGTGATAATGCCTCTTCATGATTTGCAGTTTGTAACTTGTTCAAGGATAATCTGCTATAGGCCTATCTGAACTTCGAAGTATTAATGTTTCTTCTTAATATGCTTTTTTACTCTCAATGCTTCATTGTTTACTGGGTAGCACAACTAAATCCTACAGAATTTAAAATGAGTGTAATTAAGGAAAGGACAGATTATTTCATGTGCAACAAGTCCGTATACTAGTTTATTTAAAGTTTTTGTGATTTATCATATCCAGGAAAGGAAAAATGAAGTTTCCAAGCTAACAGTGAACCCCAAATCTTTCAGTTGAGCAATCTAGCACAGAAAGGCTTTCTAAGTAATTCTTTAGTGAAGCCAGGTGACATTCTCTGGTATAACCCATTTAACAGCATTCATCGAACTCCGTTACATGATTGCAGGTGAAGACTGGGTGACAGAATGGCATATTTTTTTGGGAATCCTTCAGTTGACCTATTCATTGTTATTCTTGCATTTAATACTTTTATTAGAGTTACAAACATGTGTCAGATGTTGATGTCTGAGGTGAACCTGATAAGGTTATAAATAGTACTGTCTTTACCACCGAGGCAACCTGTCTCTCCAGCGTATGCTTTGTCAAATGAAGGTGTTCTGTTACAAATAAGGAAAGAATGGCTGAATGACAGCTCAGAATTTGGGATTGTGCACAGGTATGAAAATCTGGTTAATGAGCACTTGTTCCGTAATGTTCAGGACTGACTTTCCACTACTTCAGTTTCCATTACAAGACTAATTCTGAGGATGAAACCTAATAACAATCATCCATTCAATTGGCACTTCAATCCCAGTAGAACGTGACTCATGTAAGTTTGCTTTGACTTCGGTTTCATTCCTACAGGTAGAAAGCTGGCAGGAAACAGTTATTTATTTTGATATTTGATTTATAATCTGGGCAGCATGTAATATTTCAATGGAATTTCCTGAGAAGTGAATATATTCCTATTAATAAATGGCTTGTATAAAGTGGGCATTCAGATGAACTGAGCCAGTGGAGTTTAGTACAAGGATTGGGAAAGGCATTTCTAAAGTAACGTGCAATATGTTAAATGCTGCAATGCACTTTGTACTGGAATAGGAAATTTTAGGATAGAAATTGGTCCTTGTGCTTCCATTTTGAAAGCAAGTGGAAGAAAAAAAGCATTCTGGAGTCACCCCAAGATTGCCTGAGAAAGAACTGGCCCAGGTTATTGTTATTGGACTGTTACATATGCTAGGGAGGGCCTAATGCCTGTCACAAGAAATTGGGCTGCCCTGAATGGAGTAGGCTGCAGGCATGCACTGCTCAGGATATGCCTTCGCTGGTAGCCTTCAACAAAAAAAAATTATGTTAATTGTTTTCCATTTTGGTGCCAGCTATGGCCAGTAGCATTCTTCCCGTTAAGACCTGAATTTGTGTTTTGAGCCTCACAAGAATCAAGGCTGACACCACTGAGCAACTGGACAGAATGCTGTATTGATGGAACTGCCAACTTTCAGATGAAATATAAAACCCAAGGCTCCTACTGTCTCCTAGCTGCACAAAAAAAAACAAAATCCCACAGCACAATTTTGCAGATAAAGAAGGGGACTTATACCGATTGTCCTGGCCAATATTTGTCCCTCAGTCAACATCGCACAAACATCAAGTCAAGTTGCTGTAGTCTTACCAGACCATACTGCTGCTCTCTCATTAGAGAGAGAAGACTGCGGTGATTTCACCTGAGGGCCACCGTACCTCAGGCAAAGGGATAGGTTGAGAAAGCAGGTCTTTCATTGTGACCTCAGCCAGTGATGGGAATTGAACACACAATGTTGGCATCACCCTGCTTCATCAAACCAACCATCCAGCCAACTGAACTAAACTGACCCTCACACAAACATATCATCTTGTCATTATCACCTTGCTGTTTATAGGAGTTTTCTGTGCACAAATTATTGGCTATGTTTTCTACATTACAGCAGTGACTACACTTGAGAAAGTATTTCGTTAAAAATCTAAATCTTTCTTATTTTCCTGGCTTCACTGTACTTCTCCAGACCAGTGCCAACTATCAGTTATGATCTCTCCCTCACAATCCCTACAGCCCCACCTTCACCGCCAACCAAACTCTGTCCACACATGGACTTTTCTGAGGTACTACAGAAGTCAGCTGACACTCTGAATATTTAGGTGAGGCCCAAGGGTGAATTTCTCATCATCCTCAGGATGTAATCTTCGGTTGCATAGATTTTGACATGTGCCAGTTTACCACCTTAAAAGCAGCCTGAATGAGTTTCTAAACATACGAGGAGATTATCAACCTCTGTACCACCTATTGGTTTAATCAACTGAGAAAGCTTTAATTTAATCCTACTATCTCTGAAGCTTTAATTTGGACTACTTTAAAGAGACTTGTAATAGTGAAAAGGGAAAGTTATTCAGGCCATCTTTCTTTGTCCATCCATTGAGGAAGACACTAAAATTATCTCACTGAGGCATCCAATCATTTCACCTCCCCTGTCAACCTTGGCTTCCATCCCATGTAGTATTCATTTTTGTGCGAAGAATTTTCTGATATTAGCCTCAAATTCACCGCTGAATAGTTTGAGCCTGTGACCCTTTGTCATGCATTCACAATCTAGTTTGAAGTAATTTTCTTGATTTATCTTTTCTGTACCATATACCATATTACATGAACTCCGTGATGACCATATGGTCGAGAGATTCAAGAAAACAAATGAGCCAGTTTGCAGAGAGCCATTGGAAAATAAAAATCAACTTCCACAAACAAGTAGATAAAAAAGTTACCTTATTTCAATCTCACCCAATTATTTGATCATTATTCCCTTTGTTTTCGAAATTGTGTACAAGTTGGTGTGTAGTTCAATTTGCTCTGGCTGTGGAGGCCTAATTTTTAATAGCTCTGCTGAAATTTGCTTATGCATCTAACACTTATCTCAGAACAACTCAGAGTTCAAGAACAGGTTAAAATAATCAACTATTGCCAAGGACACTAATTATTGATTTTAAAGGAAGTGACAACAGAGAAAGGGTGCAAACTCCTGGTCACATAATGCAAATATAAAAGAAATCTACCGATGCCTATTCAAGCTCCAACAATACATTGAATGCATGGTCTTTTAAGGGCCCCAATACTGAAATGACTGATTGAAAACCGAAATGACTGATTGAAAACTCAGTCATATTAATTTTCTTTTGAATTATGACATTGTTACTTTTAACTCCTGTCGGGGTCATAGAGTCCCTACAATTTGGAAACAGGCCATTCGGCCCAACAAGTCCACACTGCCCCTCCAAAGAGCATCCCACCCAGACCCATTCCCCTACCCTGCATTTCCCATGTCTAATCCACCTAACCTAAATATCCCTGGGCACTATGGGCAATTTAGCATGGCCAATCCACCTATCCTGCATATCTTTGGACTGTGGGAGGAAACCGAAGCACCCAGAGGAAACCCACGCAGGCATGGAGAATTGCAAACTCCACACAGACAGTTGCCCGAGGATGGAATTGAACCTGGGTCCCTGGTGCTGTGTGGCAGCAGTGCTAACCACTGAGCCGCCGTACTGCCCCTGTGCAGATAATTTTATAATGCCTT